GCCTCCTCCATCTTGCGCCTTTCGATGATCCCCTCGATACCGTCATCGATCAGATCAATTTGACGCAGTATATCTCGACCAACGGCGTCTTTGTTCTAATGTTACTTTAGCCAGGTTACTCGATGCCATATAGCGCCAGTATTCTCAACATGAGTTCGCGTCTCAAGCCAAATAGTGGTTCCGGGACAGTTGTTGATAAGCCACTTTGAACGGCTTGTAGTCGTGCTTTTCGCGCTCCCAGTACTTCGAGCCAGCCTGTTCTTTTCCTGATCTCGATCTCGCGACTAAGGCGCTGGGCCTTGGATATTGGCGGGGTTGGTGGTGACTGGATCCTACGAGTGCGCTTGGGTACCGCAAGATAAACTGGGGTGTTCGAGGGAGCGGAAGATTTTGTGTTGGAGTTGGCGTGGTAGTAGGGCAGTACTCGGTATTGGTATGCGGAGGAAAGCCAATGTTCATGAGACATCGTGATGGCGAGACTCAAATCTTGCATGCAACCCAGAATAAAAACGCCAGTAACAGCTTTACGATCGTTGTGGACACAGAGATCAGAATTTTATGTACATACAGGAAGGTGGTAGAGTCGCGACTTTCGTTTGCAGGCAGAGGAGTCCCTCCACGTAAGCCTTCCCTCTCACCGTGATTTCTCTCTCACCTGCAGCAAACTTGCGCTGTATCCATTCTGCCGCCTAAAATACGCGTCCCTTCGTCTGTTGCATCTTCGCCACATTGAAGTTCTTGATCAAGAAAACCCACACCAAACAGAGTCCCATGATCGCCGTACCCGCGATCAGCATCCTCTTCTGTGCAATACCATATGCTTCCTCAATCGCCAACCTCGTCGCACTACCCTTCGCATAGCTCAATTGCTCATCTAAGCTACCGTAGATGAGATCGAAGTTCTCCATGGCCTCAGCTGGCAGTAGATCCATGAGTGCCTGAGGGAAGGAATTTGTCCAGATCGCTCCGGAGATGGTGGATCCTACCGCGCCGCCTAGCCATCCAAAGATATTGAGAAGTGCAAGAACAGAGGCGACGTGTTGGTGGTCCGCGGCGGCCATGACGGCGATCTGCTCGCAAAGGATGATGATGGAACCGCCGATCGCGATGAAGACTTGGCACATGACTAGGTAGCCTACACTGGTGTTCGGGTGGCGGAAGTAGATCATGAGACCTTGACCGAGGATATAGATTGGTACGGCGATGAAAAGAAGCCAGCGGAAGTAGCCAGTCTTACTGATGACAAGACCGACTGACAAGAGTAATACACCGGAGAGGACGTCGAATGTGGAAGCGACGTAGCCTGCTTCTGCGATTGTGAGGTTTGTGACGACCTGCAAGAAGGAGGTGAAGTATGAGTTCCAAGCGTAGTACGAGATCTGGTATGTAAAAGAGAGGAGACAAGCGCCGAGAACGGAGCGGCTGGTCAAGAGATCGAAGGGCAGGAAGGGCTTTCCGGCTGTGAAGCGCTCGTGGAGACCGAACAGTATCAGAAGCACGAAGCCAATGACTAACATCGCGATGATGTATCCCGTAGACCATCCGTTGGGTGCTGAGTCGGCGAGAGTGAAGGGAAGGAGGAAGATGACGAGACCGGCGGCTAGTAGAAAGGCTCCCGGGACTACAGAGCTGTTAGCCTGCCTTCATCACAATTCTCAACAGTAGGAGACACTGACCATCAAATTCGCGGATATGGAAGACGACGCTCTGCAAAAGGCTCCTGCCACTCGCCTCTCTTTCGAGGACGCCGTTTCTTCTCGCCTTCCGCAGGTTGAGCTTCAGCAGCAAGAACAGTGGTGCGGCGACAAAGGGAAGGATGATAGCGAAACTGCCGAAACCCCAACGCCAGTTGATGTTGTTGTAGAAACCCTCCGCCGCCTTTGGACCAGCAAACGCTGTGATAATGTATGGTGAAGACGTGAATGCGAAAGCCAGACCTCGGTGTTTCAGACTACTCGAATCCGCTGTGATGACGTCCACACAGTAAGTCATACCACCGAATCCAATTGTGTAGAAGACTTGCGCAGCACAGTACGTCGCTAGATTTGTAGATGCAGCCATGATGATCAGACCGAGAGTAGCAAAGCACACCATCGTAGCGAAACCTTCGGCGCGACCCCAGAGATCGAGTAGCTTAGCGGTCGGGATGTATACGGCTGCAGCCATAGAGTTCGAGACGATGGTAATGACCGTGATAAGGGAGTGTTCTTCGAATCCGGATGTCACGTAGGGTGTGAGGTTCGAGGTAATGGATGACTGGAACGCGTTCGTGAGGTACAAGAGCCACATGCTTGGAGTTGTGTCAGCCTCATCATCGACATGTACTTGGAAGTTCGAGCGACGTACCATAAGAATGCGCATGCTAGAGATGTCTTGGTCCACGCCAAAGTCACAGCTTCGACTTCCCTAACACCCTCCTGCGCAGAGACAGAAGGCATGTTGGCTTCCTCAACCTTGCGAATCGCATCTTCTTCGTCGATATCGACAACGTCAATGCTCTTCTGCCTCGTAGGCTCGGTGCCAGGCTGAACAGCAGCGATAGAATCCATGGTTGTAGGCGTGTCTCAACGATCTGATGATTTGTCTGGACGAACTGAACGCATCGCAATCTTCCTACCGCGAAGGGTACCAAAGCTCAAATACATTGCCGCAACTCTGGGTCCTACACGGCAGCAGCAGCTAGGCATGATACTCATGTGGGCCGACACACCTAAGCCAAAGCTTCTTCCACTGGACGCCTTGAACTAGAGCTTGTCCCGGAGCTTGACCACGACGTCGCGACAGCAAAACTGAACGGCGAACACGAGATGTTGGGTAAGGCCTTAGCCATGATGGGTACGCATTGAAGGAGTACTAGCCTTTCGAAGCATGGTGTTGATAGGATAATCTTATCAGATGGGTCACTTCAGCGGGTCCAGACACGGCTTGAACCCCATCTGCGGCTCTTTTCCGGTGCTACGAGCTTTACATCCGCAAATAATCTGTTAGAGGCGACTTTGCGGCTGACGGCCACAGAAGAAAGTCGTGTTGTGGCTGGCGAAAATTTGCGCGTGGTTCGATGTTCGGGTGGAGAACATCCAATATGAGTTCGCTTGATCTTATCTTATCTTGATCTAGATCAGCTGCTAGGCGCGTGCGCGTCGCGTCCGACCTCGGCGCGCTTCATCACAGCTACTCACCATTGCACTTCATTCAATCTCATCATTTTCATCATGGTGTTGCTTGTGATACATTGGTCCTTTATGAAAACGCCCTTAAGGACTTATTAGCTACAATATTCTAGCAGCTAGTGAGTGGGCAAGACGGCTCTAATAATCGAAATGCCCTCCTCTTCCGCATCTGACCAGACTTGCGCGGCCTCAACAAAATCTCGCTGTCTCAACGCAACTGCGCGCAGTGCTGTATGATTCCCCTCACATTTACGAACTGTGAGAGCATCCACCCAAACCAAGGTACGGTAATCAGGGTCTTTGACCTCAATCGTTTCTAAGCCCAAGGGAAGCGCGTCGACCGTATCAACTCTATGACTCATTTGTACGCTGCATAGCGCTTCATTCGGGATGCGTAGCCGCTTCAATCTATCGAACTTGTAATCCCGCAGTGAAGTGGCAATGGACCGGGCCCGTGTCGATACGCTCTCATCTGTAAAGGGTACCTCTACATCGATAAACAACTCTTCAAGCGTTGGTGCTGCGTGTTTCAGAGCTTCGATGATACTATCCCAACCCAGGTCGTCTCTATCCTCAAAGTCAAGGTGAGAGTGCCGTTCAGGGTAGGAGAGAAATACTGATATCTCTCGAAGCGCTGGCAAACCCTGCAAAAGAGCGTGTAGATACTCGCTTCTTATGCACCTCCTGCCATCGAGCATTTGAATGGTCATCTCAAGATGTATAGAAGTGATGCTTGTAGAAATGACTGCGGGTACCGGGGCTGCGATGGGGTTTGCTCCCAAGTAAGTGTCCCATTTTAGTTCCAATGACGTTAGATTCGGCCCTCGAAAGAAATCAAAGTCCGTGATTTCTTCACAAGTCAGGTGTTGCAAACCAGCAAGACCACTAACGGCGTTGTCGCCAACCTGACTGCTTTGAGCACTGAACCAGTCCTGGACCGTTGTCTCAGTGATTCTTGGCGGTAGCTTACCATGCTCATCCGGGCCAAACGGCTCTTGGTAGGTTTGCATGTCGAGCGTTTTCAGGTTGGGTAGCAGACCGAGGATAAGGCCACCGAGTGACGGCTCGAAATAACATGCAGGCATCGTTTGTCCGTCGATCTTTCCGTCGATGGAAATCTCTCTCTCACCCTCAACTTGAGTGCAAAGCTTATAATCGAAGCCCACTAGGCGATCTATATCAGCTTTGAGGTCCTCCAGACCGTGCACGCATTGTTGATCTTGACATTCTGACTCGTCGTTGTGCAGTCGCTTCGTGACTGGAAGGACGAGATGATGCACGAAGTTCGCAAGTTTCGCGTTCTTGATCAATGCACGCAGGAATTGCATGACAGCACCATGATGATCCAATCCGATGGGAAGGATAGGCGCATGGTAAAGAACCTCCTCGGCGACGGGTCGCCATTTCTTTGCAACACGTGTGAAACCTGCTAGAGCAGTCTGGTCAGCTTTATCGGAGGTAATCCTGTGGAGTATGTTGAGTATCAGCTCATCCGGCAGGTCATCCAACTTAGCCATTCTGACGTGGTGCACTGCCCGCAGCAGGCTCGAGAGTGGTAAAGCGTGAGATTAGGATCAGTTCGACTGGGATTTCGTTAGACTTGTGTATGTAGTAGACATCTTGGTCGCCGTCTCTGTACACGGTCCATGCTTTGTTAGTCAACGTTGTGAACTTCTGCATTGATCTGGCGCTGACAGAAGGGGGCCACTGTGTTGGATTAGCCGATGTGATGACGTTGACTCCTATGGAAGAGATTAAAACAATGTTACGCCAGACATGAGGACATCTAAAGCTGAGTCAATACGGCCGCTTAGATTGACAAAGCCTACTCTACTTGAAGTCCTTCTCGCCCAACGAATCCTCCATCTTCTGTATCCTTTCCCAAGTTTCACTCCACTTCTCCCATTCGCCATCAGGAAGCTTACCCTTGAGGGGCAGCCTTCCGCCCTCCATTGTGCCAAAACCGGTGACCCTCTTGACTGCTTCTTTGATGCCTACAATCCCATACTTGCCGATGAACTCCTCCGCAGTACTAACGGTGTATTGCAGCTCCTTCATCTTCTTGAGGTTCTCATCGGTGATGGGTCTTGTCTCCGCCAGCTTCATCAACGAGCAAACGGTCTTGGGATATATGGCTGCGAGACCATCGATGACACCTGCGGCATCGAAGATGACGATGGGACCGAGTTGTTGGCCGAGGCCAGAGTAGACGCGGAATTTGTTGTGGTCGATCTTGGGGTCTAGGGAGACTTGGTTGTGCCATGAGACGACGGCGTGCGACATCTTGCAACCGACGATGTTGGGGTGTTGGGCGAGGATGCGGTAGGTTTCGGGGGTGACCATGACGCCGTTGGTTACACCGGGGTAGTTGTAGCTATCGTCTCGTTAGTACGATACAACAACTTCACGTGGTTGAGACTCACATAAGTACGGGCAACGGGCTCTTGTCCGCGACAACGGTATACCATTCTCTGATGCCTTCCTGGCTCGCCGCGGCTCCGAAGTAGCCCGGCGCAAGGACAAGTCCCCATTGCGCACCCGCTTGCTTGAAGTCTTGTAGCCACTCAAGCGTCTCATCCACGCTGTTGATTAATGTACCGGCCATGATCGGGTAGTGCTCGAAGCCCGCCTCGTGGAGCCCCTTTCTCACACCAGTGACAAGGTCGATGCGCTCCTGTCGCGACATGTGAATCGCTTCGCCTGTGGAGCCAAGCAGGACGAGGCCGCGCACGCCATTTTTGGCAAGAAACACAGAGTGCTCGACTTGAGTCTGCACGTCGACAGCGGGTTGCAGCGATTTGGATTCGGATTGGGGTTTGAAGAAGGTCGGGACGGGGACGAAGACGCCGGTTGGTGGTGATGATGTCATCCTTGTGGCTCGTGCGTAGAATCGCGTTCTTGTCGCTTGGTGATGCGTTTCTTCTTCTTCTTGGAGTCAAATGTTAAGCAGCAGCTATCACGCGCAGCGAGTACCGCGAGTTTTATTGCAAGTCTTGTTCAGCCGTTCCTCGGGTTGCTTTACTCCAGCTGCCGAAGCTATGCGCCCCGCGGTGGAGCCCTTCTGGCCCTTTTGACCCCGCGCCGCCGTTCGGCTTACCGCGAAGGGGACATGGCGGCGGCATTGTGCTCATTGGCCAATCTAGGAGTTATGTAGACCCAGATGGCAATGCCATGTTCCAAGTGAAGAACATGCTTGAGATTCTAACAGTAACTTGGCATCGACAACCCCGAACGTCAACAGAGATAGTAGAATACAAAAGCGAAGAGCGTAAGCCATGGGCAAAATAGCAACGATCGAATACTTTCGCGTTCCACCGCGTTGGCTGTTCGTCAAGATCACCGATGCAGATGGAAATTATGGTTGGGGTGAAGCATCACTAGAAGGCCATACACAAGCAGTCGAAGGATGCTTAGACGCTTGGGCTGAGCGTTACGTCGGCTTCGAAGCAGAGTGAGACAATTCCTAGTACACGAAGCGGTATCAATACTGACGACATAACAGTGACATCGAGCACATATGGCAAATGTGCTGGCGTACCAGCTTCTATCGTGGCGGGCCAGTCTTTATGAGCGCACTAGCTGGCATCGACATTGCTCTCTGGGACCTCAAGGCTCGGAAACTCAATGTGCCAATCTACCAACTGCTCGGAGGCAAATTACGCGACAAGCTCAGAGTGTATGCATGGATAGGCGGAGACCGACCAAATGACGTCAAAGAGCAAGCGTAAGTATCTCGAAGTAATGAGATTATAGCGCTACTAAACGTCTCATACAGTCTTGTCCGCAAAGCCCAAGGCTTCCACGCCGTAAAAATGAACGCAACAGAAGATATCGGCTGGCTCGACTCCCCATCAGTCCTCCAATCCGCCGTCGACCGTCTCAAAACAGTCAAAGACCTCGGAATGGACGCCGGCATGGACTTCCACGGGCGCATCCACAAGCCCATGGCCAAGCAACTCGCGCGAGCCCTAGAACCACACCACCCACTCTTCATCGAAGAACCCTTACTCTCCGAACACATCACGGGTATCACATCCTTGCACAACCAGACCTCCATACCCATAGCCCTAGGTGAGCGCCTCCATTCTCGCTGGGACGTCCGTCCCTTCCTCGAAGCCGGCTGCGTCGACATCCTCCAACCAGATATCTCGCACATAGGCGGTATATCAGAAATGCGCCGTATAGCTTCCGCCGCAGAAACCTACGACGTAGCCATCGCGCCGCACTGCCCTTTAGGTCCCATCGCCCTTGCCGCATGTGTTCAGGTAGATTGCACGCTACCTAATTTCGCGATCCAAGAAATGAGTTTGGGTATACATTATAATGCAGGCAGCCAGGATCTCACGTCTTACACAAAGAATCCTGAGGTGTGGGATGTGAAGGAGGGGTACATTGAGCTGATGAAGGGACCGGGGCTGGGGATTGAGGTTGATGAGGAGATGGTTAGACGCGAGAGTAGGGATGCGAAGGCTTGGGTTAGTCCGGGGTTTATTGGGCCGGGAGGGGAGGTTAGGGAGTGGTAGGGCGTTGAGTCTACATCGCATTGGCAGTGTGTGGATGCAGGCATCACGAAGAGGCCTGGAGGTTTGTAGCATACTTTTGCTTCATGAACAGAGACGTCATGGGTTGGCCTGGAGATATACGCATACGCCTGTATGAAGCTTGTAAAGCCCGCTGGCGACGTGAGTACCTCCCCGCTGTCCCATGTGTCTTACACCCACTCAAAAATCCGAGGTGAAGGCGAACACGATAGGTACATTTTCCACCTTCACTTCTCCACTTTTTTCCTATTGTCGTCTCCAGCAGTCACCTCGACTTGTCAATCCACCTCACAATAGAAAGATAGCTATTGTACCGTTCTTCCCAGCTTTGCAGCTCCCAGATGTCCAATATATAAAGAGCGATTTCCCCCGTCCCCTCTCTTCTTTCTCCAGCCCACACATTTCCAACACACACATACATACCATCACATATCTTTGCCAAAATGGCATTCCTCTTCTTCCTCGCCGTCTTTACTCTCCTGGGGTGGCTCGCTTGCGAGCATGATGACTTCTGGGCTTCTCCCCCTTCCTTTTCTTCTTCTTCGGTCCCTGTGGCTGGTCCGCATACCGCCCCATCTTCGCCTTCCTCTTCGCTGCCGCGCCGAGAGCGTCGAGCTCTTGCGCGTGCTCGGTCCCGGTCTCCTCCTCCGGTCCCTGAGTGGGCTCGCCCTGGCTCCCTCCTGTCGCCGCCCCGACAGCAGCAGCAACAACAGCAGCAATACTTGCCCGCTGAGGGCAAGTACGACACGTTCCTGGACGTGAGGTCCACCGAGGCCTCTGGCCAGATAGAAAGAGTTTGGGATCCGGTGTGTGGGTGGCGCTGGCGTGCGGTTCGTGGTGAGAGATTGGCTGCGAGTTTGGTTCCCCTTCCGAATTCGCCTCCCCCCTCGCCTTTCGTCGCTGCGGTTCCTCCTCCGGTCGTGGTTCCTGCTGCTCCTGTTCCCGCTCCGGTTCCTGTGGTTGTTTCGGCACCACCCGCCCCCATTGTCGCACCGCCGCCGCCTCAGCGCACAGTCGCTGAAATCCTGGCCGGCATCCCGTCGAAGCCCGAAGGGCTCGTACACGTCTTTCCGCTCCCGGTTCCAGCACCAGGACCACAGCTACAGCCTCTGTTTGGTGGGTTGTCGCTAGCGACACCTGCTAATCATGCTTCGGGCTCCCTGGGACTGGTGCTGCCCGGCTTCACATCCTCGGTTTCGGCTCCTCTTCCTCCTCCTCGACACCCCTCTCCCCCAGCGGAGGCTGACCATAAGCCTCCAGCTGACGACAATTCCGGATTTGTCGCGCTGCCACCTTCCCTCTCCCTTCCAGCTGGGGCTGACCATAAGCCCCAGGCTGATGACATTCCTGGACCTGTCGCGCCCGCTCCTCTCCCCTCCTCTTCTTTTGCCTTCGGGCCTGAATTTGGTGCTGCTGCTCCGTCCATCGGTGCTGGTTTCGGTGCTGGTCTTGCCGCGTCTGCTCCCGCTCCTTCCTTCGGTGGCGCCTTTGGTGCCGGTTTGGCCTTCGCGCCAACCCCGTCTTTCTCCTCTGGTCCCGCCTCCCGCCCCTCCTCGCGCCGTCGCAGTGGTGGCCGTGGCGGTAACGTCATCTACCAACTCCGCGAGGTCGCTGCCCCGGGCATCAAGGATGACGCCGACGACAAGGCCTCCCGTCGGGAGAGCCCTCTCGACGCCGGGCTCGACAGTATCCCGCTGGTGATGGGAGCCGACTTTGGGTATGTGAGCTCGACCGGTCTGGACAAGATCGCCGACTACATCTCCGGTTCTTCCCTCGCCTCTTTCGAGACGAATCTTCGTCGCAAAGAGAACGGACTTCGCTCGTTTGCTAACCTCCTGCGTTGGCAATGCAAATCTGGTCAGTCGCTGCCCCCTGGTGGGACAGTGGCTCTTGGTCAACTGCAGCGAGAACTGAACGCGGCGGTGTTTGGGCAGTTGGAGGAGTTGGTGAGGAAGCACCAAGCCTATTGGGTGAGGTTTCTGAAGCCGGCTCGCGCTCAGAATTGAGGCGGTGGGGTGCAGCTTTGTTTGCGAGCGCCGTTTTGGTTTGCTCTTTTTTTGTATGCTTGTTGTCGGCTGGTCCGCGATGGGTACTGCACTTCACGGTTAGTAGATAGCTGAGAATGGTACTTTTTCTGCCTTCTCATATCATCTCCGAACCATACTTGCATCTGTTGAAGTGATTCATTATACCTACCCTTGACATCTTCGACAACTCCGGACTTTAACATCCCCCAGCCTTTAGGCCGCTGAGGCATAGCGCTACATCCCAAGATCCCCTCGTTCTTTGCCTCAAACGTCCGCGTACACCTCTAGGCTATCCCAATCTACTCCTCATCAACATTCTTCAGGATTGGGTGCCCGCTGAAGTGTTTGAACTTGATCGGCGCCGGCGACTCCCCCAAGAGACCAGAATGATGGACCGGCGGCGGTGGAAGATGGATTGGACGAAGGCCACCAGGCAGCAAGGGCGTAGGCGGGATGACGATGTCGGGTCGAGCGGGCGAGCCAGCCGGGGTAGTAGAGCCGAGTGTAGAATCAGCCATGGATCTGGTACTGTCGTTCCAAGATGCAGTCTCCTCCAGTACCACAGATTCTTCACCTCCATCTACCCGGATCGAGGGCGCCATCATGTTCATGTTCATGTTGCGATAAGCAGCGATGCTCTCTCCCATCGTCTCATCGACATATGCAGTCTGACTCCACAGCAGCGCTTGCCACGGCCACACGAAGCCCTCGTCTTGCCAAGGCCAGGTGTGCGTCTCGGTGTATTCCATCAACGCGAACGCAGCGAAGATCAGCATGCTCGCACACAGGAAGCCGATCTACAAGCCGTTAGTAATGTTATCTACGCAGCTTCCTTGACGTACATACCACGGCGTTGGTCAACTCTTGGGGTTTGGGGAAGTATCCGGGCTGCTCATACTCTGCGATCGCAAACAGAGTACTGGCGACAAGTGCAACGAATGCATATCTGTATTTGGCTAGGGGCGCGATAATCCTGCGATATTCTTGGCGGATGTTTTCGGGGAGGAAGAAATCTACGACTCGCGTTCTGATGCGACGTAGGAAATTGAACGTAGTGGCGGTAGCGGTAGCGGGTACGGTTGTCGAATTGGTTGTTGGAGTGGCCATCGTTGCGGGTGCGGGTGGAGGGGTGGCTGTGCGGGTTGATGTCGCGACTGCCTTATTCGCAGTCAGTGAGATCATGCTACTCGAAAAGTCTGTGCGACGCGCTTCCCAATGCGAATTCTGGGGTGTGAAAGTAAGGAAAGCGCACACTGCCCTATTTGGGTAAGGAAAACAAACAAAGAAGACTGCGCGCATAGCAAACGCACGTCCGCGCGTTGCAGCAAACACCTGGCGGAGAAATGCCCTGTCGTCTCTAGAATGATCACCGGCGGAAGGGTGCATTAGCCCAAGATAACAGCTTCAGAACAACACGGACAGGTCAGACTATATAAGTCATCCCATGATACTCACTATCGTAGTGTTCGCAGCCGTCATCGAAGATGTCAGGAATCTATTCAGGGTATATCATCAATCTAGTGCCTAGTCTTCGAGCAAAACTCACTCCTTCGGCTTAAAAACACGATGCCTCGCCAAAAGTTGCGATATCATGAAATGCGAAACATCCTCGTCGGCCCAATATGTCATGTGACTCGCTATGCTCGCCAGCAGCGAGATATCAAAAGCCTGTCGCAGTGTCAGAACATATCATCACATACAATGGACACGAAATTACTACTCACGCCTTCTTGGATACTGTAGTCCACACGACCGTTACTGTTCAGTGCTCGGACTTTAGCTTCCTCCTTCTTAAGCTTGCGACTTCGTTCTTCTAGCTCCTGCCATTCGAGGTCTTTCTCTACGTCTCGCTCGCCGTCTTCGCTTTGTTGGCTCGCTCTTCGCTTTTGGAAACCAGCAAAGAGGGTTTCGATGTCCCCTTCGATGAGGGTGGGAGGGTGTTCGCCATCTGTGCCCTCGGCAATGGTCTCTTGTCCGAGGCGGCGGCGACGCTCTTCGCTGATGAAGGCACTGGTAGGCTCGTTGAGTCCTGGCACGAGATTTACAGCGCTATTTGGGGCGGGCGCCGCGGCGGTGAGGGGTCGAGAGGTACGCTGTCCTTGTGTATTGCTGCCTGCGCCTGTCATCTCGGTTCCTGATATGCCGAGACTGCGGTTGAGTAGTCCACTGGCGATGCCTGTAGCACATGTTTTGTCAGCATGTATTTCCCAGTAACGAACATGTCATGTAGTCAGGATCTGAACTTACCAGATCCTAGAGAAGTCCAAAAGTCTGTCACACCCTGGCCAACGCGCTGTCCAATACCAGTAAATCCTTGCGATGCAGGCGCACCGAAGATGCCCTTTTTGGTATAAGGTAGAGGCTGAGCCTTAAGGGCTGACATCGCTGGCGATATCAAAGGCTCGATGCGATAACTAATTGGATCAGTCGGATGGAAGATGTTGAAGACTTGTTTGCAGAGAGGCGAGGAAGTCGTGATGTCGAACGCATGCTCGTCTCCGCCTTGTGAGAACGGGTCGTCAATCGATGTCGCAGGCGTCTTTGGCGGAACAAATCCAGTGGTAGAGTTCTGTGGTCTTCCAACGATTGTACGCCCCTTGAGCATCTGGAACAGGCCAATAGGCGATCCAAGAGCATAGAAGTCCTCCACCTCAAAGTCCAGCTTCAGGCCTTCTTCGGTAGATCTTCGCTGTTTGGCCGATTGTGTGCTTGGTTTGGCTTTTGGGTCTTTTTGGATGCATAAGATATCGAACATGATGGCAGACCCGAGCGAGTGCCCGACTAAGCTCACTTTGCCTTTGAAAGATGGGTTGCGCTCCTTGAATAGGCGGTAGGTGCGGTTTAGCTCGTTAACGACGATCCGAGAGATATGGCCCTTATAGGCAGGGCTTTGATACAGCAAGATGTCAAGCGCGAGATCAGTGAGGAAATTGCGAACAGCGGGAACGCCTGTATTGTTAGTATCCGTTCGGGCTCAGGACCGGGTCGCTTAACTCACCTTCAACAGTTATGTCCTCGAGGTTAGGATACTCTTCATCTTCGTGGTCGAGATCGCCTAGGTCGTGTTCTTTGCGGTTGTGCTTCAAGCTTTGCTTTGGGAAGTCCAATAAGTGCCGCCAAATGATGGGGATAACTTGTATGCGGTTGTTCTTGGTCTCTGAGTCCGTTTCCGCATTCAGGGCTTGCAAATCCGGCGAAGCTGAGTAGACAGACTTTAGGGACTTGCGCAACGTGTTGACGTCGTGGATGAAGTTGATAGACTCCATTCGCATTCCGAGACGTTGTCCAATGCCATGTGTTACTAGGAGCAGATGCTCAATATCACGGTCTTGATCACTGCCATGCTGGGTTTTGTAGTCTTCACGCATCTCTTTCTCCTCACGCTTTCGCATTTCCTCTTCTTGTTGTTGCTCATATTCTGGTTTTGAGGATGTCATCAGCGACGATACCTGTCGTTCGAGATTACGCCTGCGCGTCTGGGAAGGCGACATGCTTCGCTCGTTTTCCGACGCTTCTCCGTCGGCGTCAGAGTCAGACTGCTTGCCGTGGTCTGAACCATATGCCAGGGCGGGCGTAGCCGATCGGTCCTCCTGTTTTGCGCTTTGAGGGCCCTTCCCTAGGGTCGGTTGTTTCTTCTTTTCTTTGGGATCGGTGTACCCTCGGATGTACTTGTACCCAGCATAATGCGCTCCTCCAGCAAAGCGCTGATACAGAGTACTGCCCATGCGCGACCACATATCATCGGTCAACATCCAGGCTGTGGTCTCGTCTTGATAGGTAACGGTGGAGTTCAGATGTGCGCCGAACAGTCTGTGTGTGCGCGGTAAGTCAGCGGGCGCATTGGAGGTTGTAGATGCATCGCCGGGGTTGGAATCGTTCGACTGTTTCGAAGCCTCTTTCTGTAGATTATCATACGACGACTTGGGCGTGACTGGGTTGGATGTCGAGTCGCGATTCAGCCTGGCCAGCTCCTTGCGGTGGTCCTCGCCAGCACTTGGGCCCATAGAGAGCGGCCGAGCGCGGGGTTGCGAAACTGCTCGCTTCTCTTCCGGCTTCCCGAACTTCCATGGCTTGACTTTCAGGTAGCCTTCCTCGAGCTGCATGGCTAGACCTTCATCGACGGCCTCCCCATCCGGTGTGAACCACGTCCCTCGCTTCACATCGTATACAGGACCCAGCCAGTATGATGGCGCCAGCTCGCGTGTCTCGATCTCGACATCAAACAGGTAGTCTTCGTTGACGGGCACCTTTGTGGTTTTGGGAGGAGTCGCGCTCGCTTGGGTGGGCGTCGTAGGGCTGATGATGCCCTTCCGCAGTTCGTCGGCATCGGCTTCGTCGGCAGTCTTCTGGAAGGCGGCCTCGATGGCGCGAGAGTCGCTGGCGCCGAAAGGTATCCATTTCTTGGGTTTGGGAAGGGCCGTGTCTGGGGCCATGGCATGTTTCGAGAGGGGTTTGCGCTTGGGCGTCTGCCAAAGTCAGTGCCGCAACGGAAGACAGGAGCGCTGTGGAGATGACGAAAGCCCAAAGGTGTATATTGACTACTTACATCTATAGCATGAAACCACCTTACGGCCAGCGGAGGACAGTCTTTGGGGTACCGCTTGAGACTCAGCCTGTACCTCCGATCAATCACATGGTCCCCTCCCTGCTGGGGAGCCAGCACTGCCGCAGCTCTATCCTTCTCTTTCTCCTGCTCAGCCTTCTTCGCCTTGTCCGCGCTCCCCTCGGCCTTGGGAGTCGCCGGGGGCTTGGGAGTGCCGGCGCGTGAAGGCCATGGGGATAGATTGGAGAGAAAGCCCTGCTTGTTATCCGGGGCAGCCATTCTGTCGACTGGAGGGGCGTCGCCGCCAACGCGCAGCTTGCTCAGCCAGGACTTTGTGTTGTATCGTGAAGCTTGGAAGGGTGGAGCCAGCGGCCTTGGGCGGGGCGATCGGCAAAGCACGCGAAGATGGACGCGTCGAGGAAACGTGTTGGCGATGGAGACTGGCTCAGAGGGTAATGGCGGGCAGAGGCATGTTATACAGTCATCGGGCGGTGGCAGGTGTTAGAAACATGGGATTGCATGGGCTCGCTGGTGTCTTGCATGTGCTTCTGATTCCAGGGCCGCAGCATGGCCGGAGCGGCTAGTTACATCACTGGCCAACGCGCGGGGCAGCCGACTGCTCTCCCACTCGCGTCGCGCGTCGACGACATCACCACACCGCCACCCCTCAACACCATGGTTATTCGCACCATCCACGATCTGAACGCCCGACAACAGATCTTGCGGCCGACTCTGCCTAAACCCTCTACGGACACGGAGCGCTTTTCTCTCGCAGATGCTGGTCATCTGAAGCTAAAGCTACAAGCTCTCGATCGCGCCATATCGAGCATACGGCCAGATAGTCCTAGCGAAGATGATATTACCAATATTGATGATGCCTGCAAAACAAACCCATCTGGAGGATCCGTCTACGTCGCTGGCTCGGAGAGGTTCTACCTCGTAGTAAAAGGCCTCAGCGGGCCGCGCGCCACTGCCGATGCTTATTCTGAAGCATACAAGACTGTGCTACAAGGCAGGCCCTATGCTAACAAGTACAAGCTATCCGGGTGGGAGGGGCCAACACCCACATTCTCAGAGATACGTCCTCTACTACGAGATATTGACATTGCCTGCGAAACCAACCTCGAGAGCGCCTTTGCCATACTTGAGGAGAGAGGTATGTACAGAAGGGACCACATAATCTGACTCTGCTGACATGGACTAGCCAAACCCTTTCCCTTCCTCCGACTTCCCGCTGAGCTCCGGCTCCACACATACTCATTCCTTCTTCCTCCCGGGCCTCGCATCGTCCTTGACCCTTCACGTCAACACGTCACGCGTCCACGCCTCAACATCATGCGGACCAACAGGCAGTTACACAATGAAGTTAGGAAGCTCTTCTACGAGAGCAGAAGAATGTTCATTCAAGTGGGACCCGGCCTCATGGACAAAGAACTCGTAATCAAATATGACCACGGCCTCAAGGGTTTACACATGGCAACTACAATAAACCCGACTGCCCTGCAGCTTCTGAAAGAGCTGGAATTCGAGTTCTGTAAACATATGTGCGGCGAGAGCTACCCCTCAAAATCATGGATGAACCCCATGGGCCGCATATACTACGCACTCAAGCTTGAGCGTATCCGTATCACCTTCATCAAGAGTGATATCTACCGTTTAAGTGCGGCAGGGTCTACGAATCCTAAAGGTCTGGAATCACAGCGGATTCAATATGAGAAATTGGAGCGCTTTGGCAGATGGTTTACAAACCAGATTCCGGCGTCTGTGAACGTATCGTGGTCACGCGAAGACGCGGCAATTTTCTTTAACAGCACTGCTGTGGAGCAGCGTTTATATCAAGCCATAAAAGAAAGGGCATTGCCTGAATAGATCATACTGTCGCGGTGCCTGGACGATTCCAGGATGTCCATGAATAGACGGCCTTCGATTCGCCAATGCACAAATGCTCATCTCTATATCATACAGCATGTTGAGCGGGATGAGTGTTCTGTTGCCCACATCAAAGAGTATGAGGATTGCGATCTCTTCTATTTGATGAGGAGTACCTATGCGTATGTGGTTGATGTATTGCGGGAGTCATGAGTGGCTCGTCTCGCTCTGTGTTATCGTAGTACCACTGGGTGAAGTGGATGGCAACCGAAGTATTTGCCTACATCAAGTTGTGAAGGTGAAGCAGCCTTTTCTCCTACCTGCACCGCGCTTGGTCCAAAAGGGGATAGTATCGTTCTCACCTCACTTCCTACCTCTTATATGTATACGCCACTTTATCGAACACCCTACTACTGACACCACCCGATCAGGAAAGTGGACAGCTGCGCGGCTCATGCCAATGGAAACAACCTCTCCACCAGGCCACGACGAGGCTATGGGCAGCGCTCTTCCATATGCTGATAGTCGTCTAGGAAGACTACCCACAGAGCTTCTTCAGTCCGTTATCGATCATTCCTCGCACTTCCGTCTTCCTAGCATCGCATGCATAAGCCCTGAGCTGCGCGCGCTTGTCGAACGACAGCTATATCGCGACGTGGTCCTAGGCTGGAACAGTACGCGGGACTTCGCGGGAGATCTATGGCCATTCTACCGGACAATCCAGTCACGGCCGGATCTGTCCAGGAAGACCGAATATCTCGTCATCAAAGTCGTTGATCGCATGATAAGTATTGAGGTTCCCACCCTTGGTGTTGTACCACAGAGCGCAATGTTCCCCTCTACTATCCGAGCAGAAATAGAAGAAATGCGCATCGCGTGCGCTCTTCTCTTCTGGCAAATGACCGAGCTCGAATTCCTTAGCTTGTCGATTGTACATGCCGACGAGGACGACGATGGCAGGCCCAGGCTCGTTTCCAAGTGCTTGAGCAAACTCATCTCCCATTTCGATAATCGCACAGCACATCTCACGACGTTTCCTGGACTAAAAAAGCTACGAAGCCTCAGATTCGAAGGCACTGAGTTCCACTGGGTACTCGCCAAGTCCCCAAATCTGGAGGAGATTGTTCTCACTCGTGCCAGCCACATCCTGGCCGACGGAGACTCGTCTGCGATCAATACTGCTGTCCAATCTCTCACATTCCCGGTACAATCCGCCGTTCTCAATCCAGCTTGTAGCCACTACGACGCCTTGTCTCCCTTCCTCGCACACTTCCCTCACTTGGAGACTCTGCGTATGCCTTTCAACGATGCCGACGAAGGAGTAGCCGGACCCCGTTCACACTTCAATCTCGATCGCGACGATCAGGGTAGCTATACTGTCTTATTCCAGAAGCTCATGTCAGTGGCGCCTGTCTTAACAAGGCTGGAACTAGACGCATCCACCCACTGCAGTGAGGAGGACACCAGCTTTCTAGACCACGTACTACCCGGAGATGGCTTCCTTATTTTGAAGGCGCTCAAGCATCTTTTGGTACCTTATCAGTGCCTGTTCGGACGAGGTGAGCCACAATGGGCGCATATCCAGCAACCGGCGGATGAGATGCTGCCCCCAACTCTTGAGACCTTGAAGGTCCATTTCCCAGAACTCGCATTCCTTGACTGGCTTACCACCTTGTCTTACTATCGGAAGCAGCTTCCTGTGCTGGAGCATATTGGTATCGCGTGTTCAAGCTGGGTTGGAGGCTCATATGTTGACTTTGCGTTTACTTCGTATCCGCACCCTGCGCTGGACGTGCTTTCCTCGATGGGTATTGAGTGGAGCATTGATATTCCACAGTGTTGCTGGAGGCAGGCATGGGACGACTATGATCTCCGGGCTTGGGATGCAGTTGCGTGGATGGATAGGACTTTTGGTCCTTCGTATCGTGGTGAGCTTTGGATACGATAGTCATGGTTTGGATCGAGCTAACAATGTTCGCTCAGGCACCGTCTACAACCCCACTCCTGGTGACGACTCGGAGCTAGCCCCACCGCCAGTCGTTCTCAAAGGGCAAGCGGACAGTGAAAGTGCAGTCGAACTCAATCATGATGCTCAATACACCGCCGCCGAACTAGATATCTTGTTGGAAGCATCCACTACCCTGCTCTACGAATGGTAGAGGTGTCGGCTCAACTCGATCGATCCTGGGGTTTCACTCAAATAGCGTCAGCAGCGGCCATTGGAAGCGTGGCAAGGCTTGTTGCGGAGGCATTTGCACGTGGCTATAGGCTAACATATCGAGGGGAGACACTAAGATATCTCAAAAGCATGAATATGGCATTTTACTATCCGAGCAGTAACAGTGTGAAGAAAACTGTGTTGAGTGTCGTGATGTGTTCCTTCATAGCGTATTCTGCGGAGGTTCCCCTCTAAGGCATGTTGTGAGGCGAAGCGACCGTGAAGTTGTTGCATTCACATTGCTTCGGTGGCGGCGTTCCAGCTGTGTTCCCTCAACGCTCGTACCCTTTTCGAACTCTTCGAGATTTACCTTTCAAAGCTCTTCTGACTCTTCCTTCTTCCCACAGAAAGTCTTGATCAACCGGATCACTACAACCACGACATTGACGCAACCCATCCATACCCACCAACGTGTTCCAGTATACCTACAACTATGGCGTCTCTACAACAAGATCCAGAGGCTCTCTCCGAGGAGCTCAAGAGCCTCGATATATCCACAGCAGCTACGACGTCTTCAAACCCAAGCCTAGAAGCTCTACCCGTCGAGCTCATGACATTAGTAACGCAAAGTACAGATGTCAAGGGCAAGGTCGTTCTTTCTGGCGACGACCTGTGCAATCTCCGTTCTACAAGCCGGCGCATAAGAGAAACATCATATGACGGCTGGACAAAACGCTGTTTTGCTACCCGAAAACATATGCTGTCCCGCGCCAGTCTCCAATGCCTTTTGAGCATCTCCACCGATCCTGTTTTGAGAAATTACGTCGAGGAAGTGGCTATCGGACCTGAGCACGTGAACGGATACATGGCTATTTGGAAGCTACTTAATTGCAATTCTGAAGAGCAGGCGGAAGACTGGCCCAAAACGTATGGGCCAAAGCACGAAAAGCTTGTTAAAGAGCAGGAAGAGTTCGATGCCAGCGACGAAGCAGTGGAGATGTTGAAGTCGGCACTGCGAGGTTTCCCAAACTTGAAGCATGTACGCATTGACTCTTACCCGAAAAGCTCTTACCCGAAGAATGACGATGATGTTGCTGCCTGGACTGAGGCTTGGGGCTCGAAGCGCATCCTTCGCGAAATGGGCTGGGGAGCCTGCGGACACTGGGCTAGCCCTCAATGGGCACTTCGCAACGAAGGAGACTCCTGCAGCGGTAAGCTACACGGCCACATCGGCAAAGTGCTCTCGGCGCTGCGAGGTATCGAAGATCGCAAAGACTGGACTCTGGAAGTCGCACTGAATACGATGGTATTGCGTTACGAGAAACAACCGTTCGATATCTCGAGCTCCGATTGGACACGTGCTCAGCACCGTGTTACACACTTGAAGTTCATCCGGACATTCGAAGTCTTTGAGAAGTGGTGGATCATGGGGTTGCTGCAGTCCGTCAGCGGTAATCTCAGGTCGCTTACGTTGTGTAGCGAGAATGTGCCCACCTTCCTTCGATGGACCCAGTTCCCTACTCTCACGCACCTCGACATCCGTAGTAGTCCGATAGCATCACCTCTTTTCAAGAGGGTTCTGTTCAAGCACCGAAAAACCCTGCAGAGCCTTCACCTTGCTGGCTTGAATCTGTATGGTTGGTTTGACGACGAAGATGCGTTTGAGCCTTCCGACTTTGCGGATGTCGAAGATTCTGATTCCGACGAGGATGGAGTGGTTCAAGAGGTCAATGGACGAAAGCTGAAACCGGAACTCGTCGAGCTAAAAGATGCAACCTGGTTTACGATCTTCAAGCAGTTGACGATGTCTCCTTGCCTGACAAGCGTTCGATTCGCCAGACTCTCTCAATACCACTCCCGTTTCAACAATATATACCAACCCGGCAGGTACACCACCGACGATGTAGCTGAGCATCTTATCGGCGGCTTCTCGCTTTCAGCTGAAGGAGATGAGGTAGTAACGAGCCTCGATCGCGCTGTGAAAGAGCGCATCACCGTTGAAATGTCAGACAGACATACAAGCGACAAGGTTTGGTTCTCCGATGGGTGCTCGGAGGACTGGGATGCTTAGACTAGACCGCGGCTGGGAAATGGCGTGAGGCATGCCAAGGCGTGGGATGTCCAAGAGACCCATCTCTTGCGTGCTTGTCTGAATCGTGGTAGAAGTGGGGTAAGCCCACTTTTATGCGCATGTAGTTGAGTTGAGGCCATTACGGCTGTCAAATGGATGCAAATTTTCCCTGATATATGATATCTCCATGACGGCAATTGAAGTTATTGTGCTCACAGTGTACCGGATTCTGCCTTTGTGATACCATGACAAAGCAACTGAGCATGTTATAGACGCAAGTATTACGACTGATCTAGCTTGCGACTAGAAACTTCCGTAATCAAGATGGAAGGTGTGGAGTAAGCGGACCTTGGTGCTTGGCGCGGATGCAGAAGTGATTGTTGAGTCTCGTGACCCGCGACGGAAAGCTCGGCGCTGCAGTCAAGCCACCGGTGACAGATAAGAGCGACAAGAGGCTGGCTTGGGCCCGTCTCAGTGGGGATATCCAGGCGAAATACGCCTTGTCATGTTGGTGTTAAGCTTCGCCGTTAGCATGCGGCGTGACGACCTCAGCAGGTTCCACGGAGGACGCTCGGAAAGGTGTTGGGCGCCTGGAGCGATACGAGAGAATCGAGGCTTGGCGCAAGGGTGTCCGTGAAGGTAAGTGGCTTGAGCATCTGTAGTCGATGGCAGCGTGCTTGGAATCTGGCGCAAAATGACGTTGGTGTTGTGGCTTCGGTACGGAAGTCGGCACAATTACGCCTGCGCCGAGAAATTAGCACGGCTAGGCGGATCGTAGGCGAGCGGGATGCTTGGCTGGGACCGAACAGCTCGCCACTTCTTTTCACTCATCCCCGCTCGCAGTGCTGGTGAACGGGTGTTACCAACCCCACTGTCGTCATGCCCGGCACTACTCACAGCACTTTGGGATGGCATCTGCCGCTCAATCGTCTCAACGTTACTCGATGATGCTGTTGTGCAGTGTGGTAAAAGGCAGGCAGGGCCAGATGTGCCATCGATTATATCCAGAGGGCTGACAACCAAACGTTTGCGGACATGCATGCATCTCTTTGTTGACGAGTGCCGACCGTTACCGACGATGACGTTCCCTGCACCGGTCCCAAGATAGTCACCATCACGCCAAGCTCTCGATATCGCACGGTTCTTGGCTGCCCTCATGGTGTGTGCGCCCGCGTGCCAACTTGCTTGTTTAAAGTCTGCCATGTCCCCGGATCTAGATCTTTTGTCTGCATCCCATTCACTTTTTAGCACCAGAAATCACTCACTATGGGCAAGAAGGCACCGTCTCTCGAGGGCCACAAGTCCGGCCAGGCTAACGAGCCTCTCTCCAAACCCGCACATGCCCTCCCATGGAAGGACGTCGTTGCCGAGATCAAGTGTAACGACGAAGACGGTCTGACTACTGCGGAAGCAAAGTCGAGACATGAGAAGTACGGCAACAACGATCTGGGCGACGATGGAGGTGTATCACCAGGCAAGATTTTGCTAAGGCAGGTCGCCAACGCAATGACATTGGTATGTTACCTCAATGAACACAATGTAACAATCCTAACAAATTCTAGATCTTGATCGCTGCAATGGCTGTGTCCTTCGCTATTCAATCGTGGATTGAGGGTGGTGTAGTAACCGCCATCATTCTGCTCAACGTTATCATCGGTTTCGTCCAAGAGTTCAATGCCGAAAAGACAATGGACTCGCTCCGATCACTCTCCTCGCCAACAGCTACCGCTGCACGAGACGGAAAGACTGTTACTGTGCCAACCATTGAGGTTGTTCCCGGTGATTTGATTGAGCTAAAGACAGGTGACACTGTCCCGGCTGACATCCGGTACGTTGAATTGCGCTAAACTAGTTTGTACGTCACTGACTCGCATCCAGTATCATCGAAGCCCTAAACTTTGAAACCGACGAGGCTCTACTTACTGGCGAATCCCTCCCAGTCAACAAAGATGGCGATGCCGTCTTCGACGAGGACACCGGCCCTGGTGACCGCCTCAACGTCGCCTACAGCTCTTCGACCGTTACCAAGGGACGCGCTCGCGGTGTCGTCTTTGCTACTGGAATGTACACTGAGATCGGTTCCATCGCCATGTCTCTTCGACAGAAGGGTTCCCGCGTCCGCGAAGTCAAGCGCAAGCCTGATGGCAAAGCCAAACCTCATCGCTACGCCCAGGCATGGTCTTTGACTGCTGCTGATGCCGTCGGCCACTTCCTTGGTGTCAACGTCGGTACTCCCCTGCAGAAGAAGCTCGCTCGTCTCGCCATCCTCCTTTTCGGTGTCGCCGTCGTCTGCGCAATCATCGTTTTGGCCGCCAACAGCTTCTCCAACAACAGTGAGGTCATCATCTACGCCGTAGCCACTGGTCTCAGTATGATTCCCGCCTCCCTTACCGTCGTCTTGACCATCACAATGGCCGCCGGCACAAAGCGCATGGTGCAACGTCACGTCATTGTTCGCAACCTGAAGTCGCTCGAGGCTCTTGGTGGTGTCACTGATATTTGCTCCGACAAGACTGGTACTCTCACACAAGGAAAGATGGTTGCAAAGAAGGCATGGATTCCTGCCAAGGGCACATACTCCGTTGGCCAGTCCGACGAGCCACACAACCCCACCGTTGGCGCTCTGATGTTCAACCCCAAACAGCCACGCCACATCGACCCTGATGTTGACGAGAAGACAGAGACATGGGAGGAGCTTCTACAGGACAACGAGCACCTGGTCGACTACCTCAAGGTTGCATCGCTCGCCAACCTGGCCCATGTTCATCAGACTGACGAAGGTCAATGGAATGCACGAGGTGACCCAACGGAGATCGCTATCCAAGTCTTTGCCTCTCGCTTCAAGTGGAACCGTCTCGAACACACCGGTGGTGACACACCTGCCTGGAAGCAGCTTGCCGAGTTCCCCTTCGACTCCGATGTCAAGAAGATGTCCGTTATCTTTGAGGAAACCGCTAGCTCTAAGAAATACGTATTCACCAAGGGTGCTGTTGAGCGTGTCATTTACTCCTGCACTCGCGTATTCAACGATGAGAGCGAATCTGGTGTTGACCTTGACGACGACTACCGCGAAGAGATCTTGGCTAACATGGAATCCTTGGCTTCCATGGGTCTGCGTGTTTTGGCGCTCGCAAGCAAGGAGTACGATGGCCCATCACCTGAGAAGGGTCAGGACCTTGACCGCGAGAGTATCGAGAATGGCTTGATCTTCCGCGGTCTTGTTGGACTGTACGACCCACCCCGCCCCGAGACTGCCGGCTCCGTTCGCCAATGCCAGAAGGCTGGTATCGAAGTCCACATGCTCACTGGTGATCACCCTGGTACCGCTCGCGCAATCGCCATTGAAGTCGGTATTGTGCCATCGAACATGAACACTCTTCCCAAGGAAACCGCAGATGCCATGGTCATGACTGCATCGCAGTTCGACAAGCTCTCCGACGACGAAATCGACGCTCTTCCCCTACTTCCTCTGGTCATTGCCCGCTGCGCCCCGAACACCAAGGTCCGCATGATCGACGCCCTTCACCGACGCAAGGCCTTCACTGGTATGACTGGTGACGGTGTGAACGACTCCCCGTCCCTTAAGCGCTCAGATGTTGGTATCGGTATGGGAACTGGATCCGATGTTGCCAAAGACGCTTCCGACATTGTTTTGACCGATGACAACTTCGCCTCTATCCTGAATGCTATCGAGGAGGGTCGCCGCATGTTTGACAATATCCAAAAGTTCATTCTCCATCTACTCGCTCAGAACATTGCGCAAGCCTGCGTTCTGCTCATTGGTCTCGCATTCAAGGATGAGAGCGGACTCTCAGTCTTCCCAGTGTCTCCCGTCGAAGTCATGTGGATCATCATGATTACCTCCTCTCTTCCCGACATGGGTCTCGGTTTCGAGGTCGCTGCACCAGACATTCTCACTCGCCCACCTCAAAATGTAAGTTTCCCTTGCTGTGACTGACTCTTTGCATTTATGCTAACAAATCGCAGCTCAAGCGCGGTGTTTTCACCATCGAGGTCATCCTCGACATGTTCGTTTACGGTCTTTGGATTGCCGCTCTCTGTCTCGGCGCGTTCTCCCTGGTCATGTTTGGCTTCGGAGATGGCAACCTCGGAAACGGCTGCAACGAATCGTTCAACGACACTTGCGACACTGTCTTCCGCGCTCGTGCGACCACTTTCGCCTGCCTTACCTGGTTCTCCGTCTTCTTGGCATGGCAAATGTTGGACATGCGCCGCTCGTTCTTCATGATGCAGCCCAACTCCAAGAAGTACTTCACGCAATGGGCCATTGACGTCTGGCGCAACAAGTTCCTCTTCTTCTCCATCGTCTTCGCTTTCGTCACCATCTTCCCTGTCCTGTATATCCCTGTCATCAACGACACCGTCTTCAGGCACAAGGGCATCAGCTGGGAATGGGCGATCGTCTTCGTCGCTACATTCCTGTTCTTCCTCGGCATCGAGTCCTGGAAGTGGGGCAAGCGCGTGTACTTCAGGAAGCGCGATGCTAAGAATGGCGTTGCCAGGAGGGGCTCCGTCGATCTGGAGTCGCGCGTCTTTGAGCGATACCTCAGCACAGCTATCAGCACTGACGGCGAGGATGGCGAGAAGAAGTCGAGTGCATGAGCAAAGAAATGACACGAGGAAGTATGATATCTTTCGAGTAATCTCTTTGAGAGCTCTTAATGTTTAGGGCCAGGCTTGGTCCTGGATAAGGCGTTTGAAGTTGTTTGCATAGCACGCGATCGCGATACCTCTTGCCATCATGGCTGCGATGAAAAGGCTGTTATAGTCATACAGCATGTACATAGTAATCTAGATACCACAACGAACTGAACAACGAAGTTTTACCATCCACATCTACATTTTCACATTTGCCTGCATTTGATACTGACATCCAATTAGATCTTCAAGCGTATCGTCACTGCAGCAGCACCTAACATGCACCTCGACGCGAGTCCAGCCCATCCACACCACCACATACCCAACCACCCAAACTATAATCCAAAGGAATTGCAGTCAAACTATCACGAGACGAGCGCGACCACAAATCCGCCTCGGCACGAGTCACTTACAGTCCTCCAGGCGTCCTTCCCTCAAAGTCTGTTCGGAGGCTTGCGCAACACGCAGCCCGCCCGACCCACAATATCCCCACAGGCTGCCCACTCCGCCATGGCATGCCAAACCTTTCCGCTCCACTCACACCAAGACCGAGACAGTGCGTCCTACCTCGGCGCCTAGACCGCACCAAGGATTTAGCGCTCTGGTGGAGTACGTCAGCCCAGGGATGCAGCTCCAGCAGTAGTCTTGGAAATGGCCTGAGCAGGCCGAAAAAAGGTTGTGCCGATGAGCGGCTGGGGGATCGTGAGGCGTGCGTATTGGGGAAGCGCAGGCTGGGGCTCTGTTGGAGATTGAGACTGGAGGACTGTGGGCAGCGATGTTGGGAACGATCGGGTTTGTTGCTTGATGTTGCTTTTTCCCGTTTCCCGCTGTCCTTGTGTCTGCGCTCTCCATCATCGTTCGCTACCAACCCCGGTACCGCTGACGCTGCAAATCAGCCCGACCAGTTCACACACATGCAACATCCTACAAGACTATCGGACCGTGATAAAGATGGATAAGCTGCAGCTCGGCGTTTTTCAGCCGTCCCCATCACGCATCTAGAACGCCGAGCCAAGCTTCCTTGAGCGTAATCAAGAAGTGGCGAAAAAAGACGTGGCTGTGGAGGCTGAGCGCGTGGGTGCAGGTGTCATAGGAAGCGCGACAGCGCTCGGGTAAGTGGGCCTCCGGGGTAAGATGGGGGGTTGCTAACAAGTGTTAAGAAGTGAGCGCTACGCACATCTTGTTTGTCGTGAGCTTGAAACCTTCTGTACGGCAGCGGAAACATCATTCATTACATCGAATACACGACACGAAAGCGGACGCATACGATAGACGCAAGGACGTGCGATTTGTACGCGCAATCGTCCTCGCTGGTTTTGCCGGTATACCCGCGCTGTTCTTCCGTCGTTCCCCCGTCATCGCAGATCCTACCACGCCTTCGTTTGGCCTTTCCCCGCACCAAAAGTGTCGAGGTCGAGACGCATCCCTTCCCCCCCAGCTACCAAGCTTGAGCTGCGTTTCCCCCACACACGTCAGTCGAACCAAGCCAACGCTGCATTCCGCATTTTCGAAAGTTTGGAAACAACAATGCCTGCGGTTTCGAGCCACGCTTTTGTTCGCAGTCTGGAAGCGCGCGAATGGCGCGACACAGTTGGCCAGTCTGGGATGACGCCTACGGCGTTTAGTTTTTTGATTCCCGTGTTCGTTGTTGCTATTGTGGCGCCTTTGTAAGTTTTCGGAATTCTACTTGGACTCTTGGAATGGATGTGGTCTATGAGACTGAGATGGCCGGAGAAAGAATTGAGCTAATTGTTATTGATATAGTTTGTGTATATTCTGCATTCGGAGAAAACGACAAGCTGTCCCTGTTCCAGTGCGCCGCCCACTACCAAAGGCAAAGAAGCCTGCGCTTAGGCGTGCGGAAGCGAGGGAGAAGTTAAATGAAGTCACCGAGGTTGTCAGTCTTGCTGGATCCTCATCATCGCAACATCGTGATGGCGCGGACGACGACAATGAGGGAGCTCTCGGGGTAGTAGAGACACGTTCGGTGCTCGAAAGAGAATGGTAAGTTGAGAAGATCTACCGTACCCATTGCGACTCTCAACTGACATCCTTCTCAGCGCGATATGTCTCTCAACCCTCCACGCCCCCGCCCCACCTGAGCCCGCCAAACTCTCCCCAGAAACACCCATAACCGATGCCGCGGCCCTACCCGCCTCGCTTCCCCAATCCACAGACCCCTCACCACAGAACTCATCCTCCAATCCCGCCGACCAAACACCCACCACTACCACCCCCGACTCCGAAACCATCCTCAAGCTCCTCGTCTGCAGCCACGAATTCCACGCCGACTGCCTCGTCTCGTGGTTCGTCCTCCGCAAGACCAGCTGTCCGATATGCCGCTCCATGTACATGAGCAAGGAAGCGCTCGATCAGCACGACGAGGAAGAGAGGATAGCGCTAGGCGGCGATGCGACGCCTGCGGCGTTGGAAGCGGGGACTGCGAATCAGACACCTACGCCGCGGCCTATGAGTAATTGGCAGTACTTCTTGCATGGGAGTGGGATCAGGAGACAGCAGGCTGTTGAGGCGAGGACGAATGCTCAGGCTCAAGCGCAGGCTCAGCCTGCAGTGGAGTTGCAGGATCGTACGCCTCAGACGGGTGAGCAGAGTGGGGATGCGAATGATGCTGCGGCTGCGGCTGCGGGTCCGGTGGATACGGCCGTGCAGCAGCCAGATCAGCCGTCTAGGTCAAGGTGGCAGAGACTTTTGAGGCGGTAAGCAGTACGTCATACAAGATGGTTTGATTGAAGTGATTTCACAGTCTTGGGTATGCATAGTAGAGCCTGTTTTCCTTTTCGAGATACCCACTGGACGCATCATAGCGTTTCTTACACGATTGAATGAAGACAATTATCATTATGCTTTTACTCCTTCTATGAGCGTCGTTCCAGGCTGAATCCGATCGTTTATCGACGAATCTGGCCTCTGACTCTCATCTGCTTATGCGCGAGTTCAAAATCTTGTTCCATTTAGTCCATCTCACAGCAGCGCCATAACCCATGGACGGTGCGCATCCAATGACACAAATAGTATCGAAACCGGCCTCCAGCGAGCACCTTGTACAAGGAAAAATTGAACACTTGGGCAGGTATAGAGCCTACATCAACGCTAGGTCACATATCTTGTATGCTGCCATGTTGATGTAGGCTGTAGGCCTATTCGGTTTATTTTTGTTTAACGTGCGAGAGAGGTTGAGAGGCCATGGAGAAGCCAAGGACTGGTCTGAGTTCTGTCCCGCCTATGCATTCCCCGCTCAAGACCCAAACCAGAAGTCGTTTTCACTCTGCGTTACCGGATCGAAGGAGCCATTGCCGGCCGTTACAAGGCCCTCGAACTGTCCCCAGCTAGCGAAGTCGGACCAGTCGAGTAGATCAAACGAGAATGTTGGGTTGGCCGCGTTGTTATTAGTGTTGTTGAATACTGCTGCGCTGTCGGAGATGTCGATGTTACTGTTGTTGCTGCTGTACATCAGAGGTGGAAGATTCGCCGCAGGCGCGACGGAATCGGGGTTTGGCGTCGACATTGGTAACGAGAGGAGCGATGTGTCCTGGAAGCTGGTATTGTCGGCTACTGGTGTTGATAGTCTGCCTGACTGGCGTACTGCCTCAGTCCTAAGCTCTTCCAATACGACACAATAACGGTGCGCAAGGCAGTCGGTATCACTAACTGTCTCCAGTTGTCTCTGACATTTGACACCAGCCTCGAAATATCCCTCGCATTCTACTTTGGTCTTCACACCCAAGCCCTGCTGAATGCGATGGATGTATAGCACTACCACCGCACAGAAGGCGTAGTACTGGGTGAACCAGAAAGAGCGGAAGAGGTTCGACGCCTTGAAAACGTCGTCTACCGAGCGTACAATTGACATGGCGGCCTCTAGGCATGCGGTGATATTCGCCGATGCGTCATACGTTGTGCTAAGTCCGGCGCTCCAGTTAGGATGGGTGCCCATATGGGTCAGACTCGCGAAGTCTCGGAGTAAGAAGGGTCGATGGATAAGCAACAGCGCATGGTGATACGCCAGATTGAGCACCGAACGCTGACGCTGGTAGACTGGTATGAGCAGCTGGTTGTCGATACGGTCTATCGAGGTCGAACCGGAGAGGAATCCTGACAGGGAATTCTTCCACGCGTGCAGTTCTGATGTATATTTCGACGACAGCTCGATGCGCAAGGCCAGACTGGGCGGGCGAATTGAGTAAAGGTCTCGTAGCACGAGAGACACAATGCGTGTCAACTTAATGTGCTCAACAGGGGCTGTCATTAAGGAATAAGTAAGCCGCGAGGGTAGGTTGATGTAGTTCGGTTGGAGATCGTTGTCGTTGACGATGGTAGGAAGCTCCTGGACCCATTGTGTTAGTGATCCCCAACTTTGACGACGCCAGATACACTTACTTGATCGATATCCTCGTCTTTGAAAGTCCGTGGACGACCTAGAGCAGCGGCGAGGTACTTGTCTAGTGAGTATGCCACCCAAAATAGGCGTCTTCGGCTCTCGATCTCCACATAGTCCACCTTGGTCGAAGGATCGCATTTCCTTCCACGATTCAGGCCGATAGCGAAGGCGAGATGCGAGAGTTCGCCGAAGAGACTCCAGCAGTGGTTGATACGGGATTGTGTCAGAAGGTAAAAACATTGCAGCAGTCGTGCCTGAACGCTCGCTAGTCTGACGGCGCCGCGTTCTTGCAATAGTTGCGCTTCGGCTGCGCGGAAGTATCGAGCGCTATTCGACATTAGCAGAGCCTACAACAGCGGCAGCGTCGACAAACCTGCTAGTCTGCACCGTACTGCCGAGTGGCATATATGCTTGTGCTTGCGCAAAGACTACCATCAATAATGCAACTTTTGCTTTGCCATCTTCTTTACTTCTCATCTCGCCTTGGGTATCATAGAACTCCTCGACCAGCTGTTCAATCGTTGGTCGATGAAGAAAGCGATGAGTCGGTGCTGCATAGTCGAAATATCGCTCCACAAGCCTCTGCGCATCAGGCTTTGGTGGTGGAACGAAGATGGAAAGATCAAACTCAGGGAGGGGAGCGTCGCCAAAGGTGAAGATGGTAGAGTCATGCGACAAGGAGGAATTCGTGTGCAGACGCTTCTGAATACGGATGAGAAACGATGCTGCGCTTGAAGAGCCAACATAGTGGCCTTCTTGATCTCGTTGGGCGCCCTGAGGTACCGGAGAATCTCGCGAGGAAGGGCGATTGATCTGGTCTGTAGCCATGCCTAGAGCGTTTGATTCGGAGTGTTCAGGATTCGAATAACTCTGCGGGTCGATAGGAGTCAGAGGACTAGGATAGATGCGTGGGAACTGTGTTGTCGATATCGCAGTCTCTTCTTTCGCAGACGTCCCAGAGGCTAAGCTCTCTTTCCGTCTTGAGGCTAGTGCATCTGAGGCTATCGCGGGATCGTCGACAATGACAGAAGGCAGTCTTCCTCGAGTATACGACGCAGTGAACTCGCACGGCAACCCAGATCGCAGACAGAGCGCACAAGGGCATCTTCCGGTACATCTAACCTTTTTCCTGCTCTGAGCGTTAGCGCATCCATAGAACCTATGCAGCACCGCATGTGCGCCCAAATTTCCACAAGCTCACTTCTTACATCGGTCGCAAGCTCTACTGACCCTACTCCTCTCACGCTCCTCTCTCCTTCTCTTTGCAGGTGGTGATCTCGGTTCATCCGAACTTGCGCTTGCCGGGGTCACAGTCGTGACTGCTTCGATGCCGTTGGCGGGTGTCCATCTAGCAGTCGATGCATGCTTCGGCTCCACGTCGGCAGAAGCCGTTCGAGGAGTATTATTCTCGTTCATGGCTGAAGCTTCGCAGTTCGTCGTCCTTGGCTGTTGCTAAGGTTCAGGAAGTGGAGTCAGAAGTTAAGAGCTCGGATAAGAACATGATGAAGAGCCGGAAAAGCCGCACGCTAAACCCAAAAAGAGGAATCGCGCACGAGGCCTCCCCATGCCCGCAGAAATGTGATGCAACGCGCAGAATAGAAATAGCGGATGCTGCTTGTCGTTTTTATTCCACTCGTTTCTGTGCTACCTTCTGTAGTTATCCCGGCCGCACCCTCTCGTTGCATGAATTCTTCACACGCAATGCCTGAGTGGCATCGCACCAGTTTCACCACACTATGTACGCGCCATCCTCATTCCTACATCGATCGACATCGCGCTTTCCCATCCTATTCCCATGTCAGATCTAATACCAGATTTGTACCTCTACATTCGTCTCATTCCCCAAGCCAACCTAAACACACCGTGGCCTCTCTTGCGCACTGCTCACTCAAAAGCCTTAGGCGCAAACTCGATATCCAACTCCCTAATCGTATCCCAACAATGCCCCAGCACAACCTTCGCATGCGTCCTCTTCTGCAACCCCCTGATCATCTGATGACTCCTAACCCACGCATCGTGATCTCTTGCCAACCACCCCTGCGGTACGCCGTCCGCATAATTCTCCTTGACATGATACTGATCGCTCGTAAAGATCCACGTCCCACTCTCTTTCAAATTCACCTGCATGATGGTCAGTCCAGGGGTGTGTCCAGGCGCATGATGTAGATTAACTCCAGGGGCGATCTCGTAGTACGACCCGTGGAAGGGGACCCAGTTTATGTCGAAGGTGAGGTAGTGGGGAAGGTAGACTCCTAGATCTGTTTTGGTGGCGACGCTGTAGAAGGCGTGTTTTAATTCCAGCTCGTGGACGTAGACTGGTACGTCTTTTCTTTTGAAGTGTTCCAAACCACCTGAATGGTCGAGGTGGAGGTGGCCTATTATAACCATTTTTACGTCGTTTATATTGTGGCCGGTCAAGGCAATTTGCGCATCCAGGTTCTTGGATGGGTCGTGGTCTATGCGGGTGAAGATATCTTGGATTGGTGGACCGACATCTTCGGGATAGTTTTCCCCCGCGCCGGTCTCGTAGAGGATGAGGCCTTCGGTTGGGTGCTGGATGAGGATGCCGAGCATGACCAGTTTACGGCGTTTGTTGGTCGGGTTTGGGTTTGACGATGAGGACGCATTTGCTGCTCGGATAAACCACCCGTCGTCACACTCTAATGTACCCAGGTGCAGAACCTGATGTCTGTGGTGTTAGGATGGTGTAATTGGTAATGAGATTTTACTGCGTCGTACCCATAACTTGGTTCCCTGGGGTCACTTGTTAGTACCATGTTGTGTCTCGGTAATTCTTAATCGCCTACATTGGGAGCCTGGTTGATCAGATCCAGAGAAGATGCCATGCCGGATGACCTACCTAGACACGTCTGGCGGGGAAATTCGTCTTTATGAACCCTTAAGCCAATACTCTCTGTAAAGGTACATCTTCTGTGCTAATCGCGTGCTGGTTGGCGCAGGTTCCCCACGGGTCAACGTAGAACCATCGTCACTGATTCGTGACGGGTAGGGAAGCGATGAGGGGTAGCTGGATGTATGCCCCACGGTTCACAGGTAAAGTGGGGCTTCTTTACACAGCCGGTCGTTCGTTTAGCATAGCTGGGTAAATTAACGGAGTTGGTTGGTTGGGGTTGAGCAGGATGTGCTCGCTCTGAGACCCCGTTGCTGCGGCCGACGCATATCTGTCTATGATGACTGCGATGACCGAGATCACGTATTGTTTACATCATGAAAACGCAATGTCTTGAGTTTGAGTCAGCCTTCAATTCTGCGACACCTACTCGCGGCTACACAAAGGCCGTTAGTGGTCCGATTGAGGGCA